TAGCAATCAGGCTAGAATTTATTCAATAGATTTACTTCATTTGGTGGTAATTGATAAATAATCAAAATTTATCAATGTGCTTGCACATGTTTCACTAACAATCAAGCAAAAGTGGTCCATTTACCACCTGACTTGGTCCAAATTAGGATTAAATTGATGATCAATTAATCTTAGAAGGGGCAGTGTTGTGTTTTGTGGAGGAGCAGCAGCAAAAGTGGCAAATGGAGTAAAGACAGCAGATTAGTAGAATGAGCAGAAATGAGCTGAACTGCTACGGTTCGCAGCTAATGAGCATGCAGCTGGATTGCAAATGGCTGGATTTATAGTGTTGGTATAAAAATAAAACTGGCTGTAGTTTAGAACCGTCACAGACCTGGAGACAGAAATTGGAGCATATTTGACATCACCCTCCACAAATAGAAAAGGCAGAGCCAAGTCGCAGGTAATACCTCTCACTGGACTAACTGCGTATCATCAACAAACCGGTTTCTGGGATAAAATGGTTTGGGGTCAGAGGGCTGCAGACACAGCTAAATAAGCTAAATAAGTGCTTATTTCTGTACTTCCTTCCATTACTCCACAATGCTTTTTATATATTTGTGCAAACAAACTTTGCACACATTAAATGAGACTGGAAAGATTCTTGTCTTATATACTGACTGTGAGATGCAATGGAAAAAATAATCTCCATGAAGAATTCAAGAAATGTGCATAGGCAATGTCAGGCTTCTGTGAAATATTTCAAGTTAAAAGCTAATAGTAACCTTGTTTCCAGCTACATGAAGTTGTATTTCAGTTTTCATCTGTATAAAATATATCTCAACATCCAGATCTAGCCAAGAGATGCAGGGCTGCTCCCCTATTTAGTTGAGTTTGAGGGGAGGCAACAGTGACTAGTGACTTTTTGAGAGGAAGTGTCAAACTGCAGCAGTGCTTACTTTCAAGGCCAGTTCAGTGCACTAATAAATGTATTACCTTTGCCTTATAATGTGCTTTATGAGGCTTTATTTTAGTGTTGACTGTCTCATACCTTCTTTCTTCCCCTTCCCTTTCCCCTTCCCTTTCCCCTTCCCTTTCCCCTTCCCTTTCCTCTTCTTTTTTTTCTACATTTTAAGTTACTCCTGGTTCAATTGAAATTCTGTTGTTATACCAGCAACTTAAAGTCCACTTAATTATCATATATATGTCAACTTTCATAGCTGCTTTTTAGAAGAAAAATACAATTACATTCTAAGGCAGGTGAGAATGTGTGTTGTAGTGGCAAAATGTTTTATTTGGAGCACCTGAAGAAAAAACATCTTAATTTCACTGACAAGATAGAAAATCTAGATTTTTTTTCCTTTTAAAGGAGTGTTGAGTACCTTTCTCTCCTATTAATTTCCATCCAAATCCTGTTTATAATGTACTGTTGAAAAACAGGCTGTTTAGTGAAAAAAAAAAAAAAAAAAAAAACGAAACAAAAAAACTCCAAAAATAGAGTTTTAGATTCCAAACATTCCAATCAAATTGGAGACTAGCAGCTGCAGTACTAACAGTATTTCTTAAAATCCCCTGCTTTGAAATATGCAGCTGTACCTGGTGAGAAGTTGGACTTTACAAAGCTATTGCAGTGTGCACAATATTGGGCAGCTGAAATAAGACTAAATGTGAGATTTATCTTAAAGCATAAGCATATTTTCAGGAATCACCTCTAAGAGGGTAAAGGTTTTTTAAGTATGGCAACTATAGCTATGATCAGCAACCCACATTATTCCCTTTCTTGATTCTAGATTTTGTAGTTAAAAACACTTTTGCTACATACTGCAGCTTGCATTTCTTATCACATTGCATGTAATGTGTGCTGGAGTTATGTCTGCTGAGATTTTTAGGGTCATGTGTGATACTGTTTTTTCTCTTGTTTTTGCTTTTTAAATCATGAATAATTTGTTCATTTGAAGTGCAACGAGTTAGGGTCTGGCTATTTTCCAAGACTAGTGAGCTACTTTTACTTTGATCACTGCAAATTCACACCACATACAAAGGTTCTGTTTTAGTATATTAGAATTTATTTGAAAAGCCAGAATCTTGAAGAGAGGAAAGGAAGTGTCTTGCAGGTACTTTTGTGCAGACTTCTGTTAAAATTATTAGGAAGAGGTGACTGATATTACTTCACTATAAAATTTTACTTTTTTTTTTTTTTTAAATAATGATTTAATATAGGCTTCTTCCCAGGTTTCATGTAATGTTTCCAGGATTTGTTAATATTCTCATGACCCTCATGACCCTTTTGGGGAATGCCTCAAGTTCTGCCTCTAAAATATACAATCAGTACAGAAAAAGGGAAGTTGGAAAATCAATACATATATAATTCTTAAGTATCCAGCTCTGAAAAAGGTGGACAAAAATCACTGAATTCACTTTATTTCTAAAGTCGGCCAGAATGTGCCATGCTTTCCCTTTTGACAAAAGCAAATAAATTTGAATGGTGTTCAGCTTGCAAAGTTAGCATGCAGAGATGTGAATATGGAAATATAATGTGAAAATGTAAGTAATGACAAACATACGGTGGCTGTTATTTTAGCTAAAAATGAAAATAATCCCAAATGCAAGTTTTAGTGATGCAAGTCATCTTTCGTTTTAATAGCAGACACATTATAATAAGTAGATGCACATAAAAGCTGCTCTTAATTATATTGCCGCATGCACATGCCTGTGAGGGAATTTGCTGTCCTCATTCAAAAAATCAGTTGCATCTCTGGTTGATTAAAATTAAATTTTTTTGAAACTTAAAAATAGCAAAGCAAATAATACTCTGTGGAATTAAATCAAGCAACCTTGATCAAACAATTAACTCATTCTCTATTAAATCAATAATTGCTGATGCTAATACTGGAGCTAGTTCCAGTACCTGAAATTACAGCCACTGATTTAGTGTCTTTATTAGTAGTAATTAGGCAGCTGTCTTTCCCTGGTAGTACATTCCAAAGCTGGTACTTGGCTGTCTTCTAGAAACTGCCTGAAAAGTGCCCACGTTGCAAACCACACGGAACCGCAGCATGAAACTCTCTGGACAAAACATTTTGGGATCTGATATAAGCTCTGCTAAAAGCAGGCAGGAGTACCTGGTGTTCCAGTATTATAACATGCTCTGGGATTTTTTTTTCGAGTATTTCAGGTATTCCTGGGGTGCTCTGTCTGCAGTTGTAGTTCATGAAAGGTTCCCATTGCCCCAGCGTTATTCTGGGCTGTCCATCCTCAGCAGCTCTCCTAGTGGAGCGCATAACTGTGACAAATTAGGAATTAATTTGCTCTGATGTGCTAACGTGACCATGAAGCTCTTTACAAGACCTTTATTTATTCTCTTTTCATTTGTATAATATAGTCTTTGCTTCTTGCCTCTGGTTACATTCTTTTGACTGGTAAGTTCTCCCACTTAAACAATTTTATCTAATATAGCTAATCTGACACTTGTTCTTGTTAGGGAAAGGATTTTCTTTGGTGCACACTCCTGTTTACATTAGAATCTCAGCCTTTGTTTTTGTCTTGAAAGCACCCACCAGGAACTGCTTCATTCTTCTCCAGATCCGGAAGGATAATTTGGACTAAATCTGACATTATGTGGTTCAGCATGTAGGTATATGAATGTGGAATTACTGTGCAAAAATTGCTACAGAGCATCAATCTAGACTATCTTAATATTCCCTTCTGACCTTCAGATTTTTTTATGTTTATCAGTTGCTGGTTTTGACTGAGCCTGTGGAAAAAAAAAAAAACTCACTTTGCTTCTGAAACAGAAATTGCCTTGCATATTGAAGTCAGATAAAATCCTGCTAGTCTCACAAGATTGAACTTCATTGTTGCTTTTATCCACATTTTAAGACCTACAAATATTCTTAGCTTGTGTATTTTTACCGGCATTTAGGGTCTGCATTTCTTTGATAACCTCAAACATTACTTTCAAGGCATTTTTTCCAGTAGCACCAGAAATTTGTTGTACATATTCTTATCAGCTTGTTGTGTTCTTCTCTATAGGAAATGCAGGAAAAAAGACAGAAAAAAAACATTACTCTGAAATGTACATTTGTTAGCAAAAAGCATCCCGCTTCCAAACATGGATCCATCATTAGGATTAAAATTCAGATTTCTTTCCCTTTGAAAAATAGGTCATAAAAAAAAATGCTATGAGGTAAATTACAGAAATGCTACTTTTGACTCCAAAACTACCATCAATACAAACACAAGGCTAGGATCCACAGGGCTATCAGGCTATCATGTTATTTGGGAAAGTTTTAGTAGTTTGTGCCAAAACTGGTATATGAAATATTGTATTTAATGGTGTGACATGTAATTGCAATGAGGAAAAATATTTGGATTGTAGTCTGTGAGCCTGAAACTGCTGTTTCGTTTCACTTGAAAGTAGTACCTTTTTTAAAAAGTTACTACTGTGAAGAATGGCACCTTATCATCTTTCTCCTGAGGGGCTGTGCTTGGTGCCATTACTGGCATTATTTAGCAAGTGTAAAATTTTCAAAACCTGGATTATACTGTGAAGCTCTGACAGAAGCTGCTGTAAAAGCTGAGGAAATCAATGTTGCCTATGTAGACATCTTAATATCTTAATACGTAGCTTGTTTCAGCTTTCTGTGATGTGATTTTTTTTTGAGATGCAAAGATAGCTTTCCTCTTCATTAGCTGTCGTCCAGATCTACAAAGCAACTCCTTTTCTTTTTCTTTTATGCATTTGAAATGAAGTCCTAATATAGAGATTTTTAGGATACTCTACTTGGAATCTTGAAAATAAAAACATTATTATTGAAAATATTGTTAAAAGAACTACTGTACATAATAGCTAAATGCAGAATTTCATAAATTCAACTCTTTGAAATGTTGAACAGCCTTTCTTTGTAAAAACTCTAATATCTCAGAGGGCTGCAGCTTTCAAGTTTGTTTTTATTCAGTGATGTAACCTTTTACCACAATGGGGCAAAATTAACACAATCACTTGGTTTAATTGCAGGCTGGCAAAAGAAAAGGTTATGTATGAAAAAGAAGCAAAACAGCAAGAAGAAAAGATTGAAAAAATGAAAGCTGAAGCATGTGATGATTATGGAATTAAGAAGCAGGTAAATTAAGTTTGTAGTCTTTTTTTTCTTCTTTGCTTTGTTTTAATCATAGTCATCCTTAAATCAGAGAATATCCTGTACCTCTTTCCAGACTCCTGTCATGTGAACACTAGACTGAAAGTTCTGTTAATTGTGAAAATCAAAACTTGCATTTGCAGAAACTTCCTTTCCTCCAAAATATTAAATTATATGGCAATTGGGCGCTTGCTGATGGTATGGCTATTACTACCATTGGGTAGGAAGCCATCATGAGCACTATTCCTCAAAAATGCCAAGCACCTGAAAAGAACTGTTCTGGCTAAATTAGGTTAATTAAGTGCTTGGTGGTAAGCGTGAATGTAACTGTTAGCTCCCAGTAGCTGGCGTGTGTTTCGCACACAGAGAGCAATGGGTAGGTTAACTCCTAGCAGCTGTTGGGATTGTTGGGGTCAGTCGCTAGAAATGTGCTTGCTGCAGTTTCATGTGCTCCAAAGGTTCATTTAGAGTCTCAGTTACAGTTACCATAGGTGGAATTTCCTGCCAGGTTGCCCACAAAGGACAGTTGGTTGCAGGCAGTTGGTCCATGGAGTTTTGGAAGAAGAGAGAATGTCAGGTTTCCTTGTCACTGAAAGAAGGGAGGTTGGGGAGGGTTGTTTGTTTTCCTTATAGAAATTTGGCATGTCTAAGTGTTTGTTTGTTTCTCCCAAGTAAGTTTGCTAAATTTAACCATGCTTCTCCCTCCCCATGAGCATTTTCCAGCTATATTCACTTAAATCTTCACAGAAACAGTAAATTAGAACAGTGGAAAGATAGGTTTAAGAACCTGAAAATAAAAACTAACAAAAACAAGTTAGGAACAAACCTTTTAGAAGAAGCTACAACAAATTCCTGAATAAATTCAGTTGTCAATCCATGTGTGCACGGCCTGCTTTGTTTTCATTATAACATGGGAAAGAAACACAAATGTAGAATTTGCAGAAAACTTTATATATATATATATTCAGCTTCATAAATTCTGAACATGACTTCTGCAGAGACTCACCAAAAACCATGACTGGTTCCAACAAGTAATGCAGTTGTACTGCGATGTGGCTTTCTTTAGTAATGAAGCTTTATTTTCTACACAATTCTAATGATTCACAATATATAAAAATTTTTCACAGGATTTTCTGATACTTTATCTGTAATAAAAACTTTTTCACTCTAGCCACCCAGGAGTGCAGACTAACAGGAGGAAAAAGTATTCATGCTTTTATGACTTCTGATTTGTCCTGAATTTAATGAACTCCCTTTACAAGCTAATGTGAGTGTGAGTGTGGGAGGAGTGTCAGGTACCAACTACTGGATTCCTCTCAGTGGAGATACACAGTTGCAGTTAACTATCAGTGTTTTGATTAATTAATCGCAGAACCACAGAATGCGTAGGGTTGGAAGAGACCTCTAGAGATCATCTAGTCCAACCCCCTGCTCCAGCAGGAACACCCAGAGCACGTGGCACAGGGTGGCATCCAGGCGGGTTTGGAAGAGACTCCACAACCTCTCTGGGCAGCCTGTTCCAGGGCTCAATGATTGATTTTTTTTTTAATAGTTATCCTAGAATTCTAAATGGCTTCTCCAAAATGAAGCGAACATCTAATGAATTCAACATAGAATTTAATGTCTGCTTGCTATAAATACAGTCTTGCTAATAGTGCTTTTTTGAGTATTAGCAAAAAAAAAAAATTTCTCTTACTTTGAGTAGGAGATAGAAAGGTAGAATATTTCCTGAAAAAGCGATAATAGACATTTATGGAAGTCATTTATGTTGCTTGGGGAAAATCAGCGTGAAAGATGAGAGTGAGCTGTGTATCTCACTACGGAGCACTGGCACTTGCTCAGCAGTTTTTTCGTTTTGGTGGTCTGTTCAGGCACTGGAGAAGTTCTCCAGTTACCTCAGGTGGGCTTCTCAATTTTTAATTCTTGCCACCCCACACCCTACCAGTTTAAACATAAAGGTTTTGGTCTTCTTACAAATCAAGTACAAGAAGATGAGATGAAACATCTAGTTCCACTGCAGTGTGATTTCTTTCATAATCCCTTGGATTTTCCCTAAGAATGGGTGACCTCTGCTTAATAATCTGACCTCAGTAGCTCTAGCTATTCAGGTAAAGAGGCAGTGAGAATGCTAACAAGGAATCTGATGTTTCACTTATGTTTTTGGATAATGTCCTTAGCTAGTACAGATTAGTCTCTTTAAAAATTTAGCAACCAGTGGGACAAGAGAAGGTTAATTTCACCTCTCCTCTACTCTACTGGAAAACAGGCAAGAAAGGGGAAAAAAAAGAATAAGAAGAAACAGCTTCCATCTTTTTGAAGCTGATGAAGCTTTTTTGCTCTTACTATATGTGTAGCCTTCCTTAGGCTGAAGGAAATTGCTTCCTGTTGCAGAATACATGGTATTGGTGCTCTTAAACAGTAGTATTTGTATCTATTCGAAGCATATTCTTAAAGTTTCAAAAAAATGGTGTTTTAATGTAATGTAAGTGCTTGGACGATCCTGAATACAAAAGGACTCTCTTTATGCATGAATAAGTTCTTAGTCATAGCTCATCTTCCTTTAAGAGACTGGTGTTTCCTTTCCTTTGGGGTGCTCCCAAAATCTTCAGCCTTTACACTGAAAGGAATATGCAATGCAGGGATGACATTTAAAGTGAAAGGCTTCTGTTCCTGGTTATTCTGAATGCAGAAGTGTTTTAGTACTTTAATGTCTAACTGATTAACATTACTGAACAACTCTGCACACCTTTTTTGTTTGGTGGATGGATTTGAGGTTCAGAAATGTTCCATGAAATAAGTGCTCCCTTATATAAATCTGAAGTTGTTTTCTGTAGGTGGAGGCAGGATGTTCAGATTCAGTGGGGTGCCAGTTTAGTAATTTTGTTCAAAGTGCATGGTGAGAATAATCTTTCTCCTAAAATGAAGCACAAGGATAAGTAATAACTTTTTATGCATGATAAGCATCAAAAATATGAGCCTGCTGGTCTTTGCTTTTCATTTTTCTTTACCTTTGTCTTTCAGTCAGAGCCTCCTGCAGTGTGCACACAATGTGATCAATAACTTTTTTCATGCAGTAATTATCTCTATGTGGTATTATCTGAACACTGTTTTTCTTTATTACCCAAAAGATGCAGGAGATATTTATATAACCAGCTGATCCCATTTTGGATGAAGCTGCTTCATGACAGCAGGAGAAAGTTTGTTCTAAATAGCCTTTTTTAACAAATGCTACAGGGAAACCCTACCAAGCTATATTACTTATTTTTAAGGGAAAAAATATTCTAAATACTTTTTTTTTCTCCACTTAATAAATTGTATTTAATTAAACACAAAGGAAATGGAAGTGTGTTGTAAAATCTTTATTAATATACATTAACAGAATTTTAAACAATTATGCAAAGTCAGTACATTTTAATTCTCTATGTGGTATTATCTGAACACTGTTTTTCTTTATTACCCAAAAGATGCAGGAGATATTTATATAACCAGCTGATCCCATTTTGGATGAAGCTGCTTCATGACAGCAGGAGAAAGTTTGTTCTAAATAGCCTTTTTTAACAAATGCTACAGGGAAACCCTACCAAGCTATATTACTTATTTTTAAGGGAAAAAATATTCTAAATACTTTTTTTTTCTCCACTTAATAAATTGTATTTAATTAAACACAAAGGAAATGGAAGTGTGTTGTAAAATCTTTATTAATATACATTAACAGAATTTTAAACAATTATGCAAAGTCAGTACATTTTAATAAAAAACCCAATGCAGAAAATATGCAACTGTCCTGAAGTTGCTAGATGATGACTGAGCTACTGAGTTTTCAAAGTAAAAGCTCATTTTAAAAAGTAAAACTTCTCTCTGGAATGTGTTTTCATTTCATTGGCTTCCACTTTTCACAGATTGAGATTTTGCAAGAATCACGCATGATGATCCCAGACTGCCAACGCGCAGACTAGGTTGCACATGCAGATCTCGCGCAACTGTTAGTAAGTACCGCCCCAAAAGCTGCTTCTCACATACTGACACCTCGCACAGTACAGTGTTCTTTCTCTACTGAAGCTATATAAATGTGTTTAGCCTGCAGTGTAATTTAAGTATAATAAATTTACTTGTTAAAAAAATGTAAATTGCTTAGAGGTTCCAAGACTGCCATCCTATAATATACCAGTATTCCACTTTGCATAACTGTCTATGTAGATTTGGTCTGCAATATGCAAAAGTATGTGTGTTACAATGCTAGAAATGGCCTCTAATGGAATGCCTCCCTAACAATGCACTTAAGTACTGAGCTCACTGAATTCTGTACTTATTACACATTCAGGTAAAATAGTTTACCTGCTTATCACCCCTTTGGTGGGAATATATATAATATGCTTCTGCTGACCTGAAATGTTCAAAAATACTTTGCTAAACATTTACTTTGCTATGGACAAATGAAACAAACAAACAAACAAACAAACAGCAGCAGAAGTCTGTGCTGCATAGTGCTTATGTGATTTATTAGTGAGGTGGGCATTAGTGCTCCATTTGTAGAATATGAATAAATAGTATCTTGCACAAATAGTTTCAGGTTGTCGCCTCAAGGCGACATGCCCCTAGTGCCTTCCAAAAGAGATGTTCAGTATTGCCAGGATCAGACTCTCTTTGTCATGCCGAAAACTTAACATGACAGTTAGCATTGGGGGATGCAGAAGTTATTTATACTGGATGCCATGAATATGTACAACCTGGCATGCAAATTTAAATTGAGAAATGCAAGCACAGAGGGGTTGTATTTTCTTTAAAGAATTCAGCTTTCTTGAAGCTAACTTAATTTCTGTTGTTATCTTACCTTCTTTTTTTTTTAATATAACTAAAGAAGTTTAAAAAAGCTTAGGTTTTTTTCCTACTCATACTCTCGTTCTGAGTTCTACCGACATTGATTCCAATGCCGATGTACTTGTTTTTGAGTATTTATTTAATAAATAAAGGCACACACAGGCCTACTCACACATGACTGCCATTATACTTTAAACCTGTGCTTGGATCATGTAGAACTAATATGCTCAGTTTTGATGTAACCTTTTTGCTTCATGGTTTCCTTCTTATATTTAGTCACATGTCAGTTATTATTAAAGTACTCAAAGGCTCTTTTTAATTCCAGGAAAATGAAAAAGAATTGGAAGAAGCTGAAGAGTATAAAGAAGCACGTTCCATACTGGAGTCAGTGAAGCTGGAAGCTTAGAAGTTTTTCAGTACTCTCTTCATATGCATTAGCATTGGGCCCATTCCACACTTCTGTTTGACCACAGCTCTCTCAATATTGTTGACTTGCTAAGGTTCCCTTTATGCAAATAACTTAGCCTTTCTCTAACTCCAAAATGCCTTGAATAAAGGATGTTCTGAAACAGCTGTGTGTTCCATATTCAGGCAAAATACAAATATTGCCAATTCACCTCAATTACAGAAAGAATATCAAAAATGTATTTAATAGTGTGATAGTTAATATAAACACTTTACTCTGGCCAATTCAGGCTAAGAAACAGAGTACAGTTCAAGCATCTAGCTGTATAAGAAACATAACAAGTAAATAAATGCTTTAGAAACACCTTATGTTGGAAATAGAATCATAGAATCACAGAATGCTTAAGATTGGAAGGGACCTCTAGAGCTCATCTAGTCCAACCCCCTGCACACACAGGGTCACCTAGAGCACTGGCACAGGACTGCGTCCAAGCGGGTTTGGAAGATCTCCAGAGAAGGAGACTCCACAACCTCTCTGGGCAGCCTGTTCCAGGGCTCTGTCACCCTCACTGTTAAAAAATGTTTCCTTAAGTTCCTGTGGAACTTTTGGTGTTTCAGTTTGTGGCCATTACCTCTAGTTCTGTCGGTGGCCACCAGTGAAAAGAGGCCAGCACCATCCTCCTCACTGCCTCCCCTGAGGTACTTATAGACACTGATCAGATCCCCTCTCAGCCTTCTCTTCTCCAGGCTGAACAGGCCCAGCTTGAAAATATTTTCAAGCTATTACAGTAATCTGTATTGAAACATTGGATGGACTAAATGACCCTAAGTCACTCATTTTTCCCTGTGGCACTATTTATCTGCAATTATAACAAAGTATTACTTCTTGTTTCCTTTTGAATACAAGGCAGGAATAATCCCAAAACTTTCTTAAATTGCCTGGAGTTGATTTGTAGAACCCAGTTCACATTATTATGATTAATCAAGACTGAGTTGCTTTTCTCAAGAAATAAAATTTAGCAGCTCCCTAGTGTGTTGTCAGCTGTACTTACTGGTAGAAGTGCTGAAGTGAGCCTTTTGGTAGAAGCTCTGAAGAAAACCTTTCTCCCGAAAGCCCAGCTGCTCTAGGTGTGACTTCTCTTAGAGCAAAGTTTAAAACCTGGAAGGAGAGAGCGAATTAATGGGTATGGGGACAATGCTTAATCTGCCTGGAGGACGATTAAAACATTGTGTACAAAACCTGCAGCTCTTCCAGGATGACTTCTCTAATTTTTATAGTTTTTTGGCATGTTCTTTAAGGGCAACAAAGCACAGCATATCTTTTGTGTGGTGCTATATGGAATAGTCTAATAAAATCTTTTGTTAATGTGCCTGGGTTCATGTAAACTGCAGTTTCACCTACCTCTATGTGCCTTTAGCAGCTACCTGCTCTGCACCCAGCGATAAACACACGTTGGTACTGATGAAAGTCATGGTGCAGTACTGTGGTATGTCTTCATACCCATCTTATTTCAGGTAAGACACAAACAATGCAGATAACAGCATTACAGCAGTATAAGTAACATCATAATCACTCGCTGCTACTCCTTTGAAAAAGTTGGAGATGTCAGTCCAGAGCAAGCTCTTGCTTTTAAAACAGAGCAAAAATTCAAGAAAATAGGAGTCTTAACTAAAATCATCTTGTTCTGCTGCTAGGTGTTCATCAAGAATAAGAAGTCCTCTCCTCACCCCTCTTAAGCATTGCCCTGACTAGCTATCAACAACGCAGGATTTCTGGCTGACCACAGACTGATCTGTTTTTGAAGCAGTGACTTACCCTGGATAGTGCCAAGAAGCAGAGCCATTTGTGAAAGTCCAGGTTTCACAGAAGCGTGTCCTACCTTCCCAGCAGCATTGTGTCCCAGATGCCTAATGGCTGCACAGCAGCAAAGGACATTTTGCCTTGCTCGCAGTTCAGGTGAGCAGCTCTTGAGGAGAGAACCTGTCTTTTCTACACACTTCAGTCAGGTGCTTCTGCAGCCCTTCACGGCAGCTGAGGGGACAAAGCAGCCCAGCCTTAGCCAACCAGCTGCAGCCTGCGTAGCCGTGATCCTACTTAGCAAATGCTTGAGGGTAGTGAGGGGAGCCTGCGGCGAGATGGTGAGCTGAAGAGGGGTGTTGGGGAGGAGGTAGAATAAAGTAGAATTAAAAACAACAACAACAAAACCTTCCATTTTGAAGAAATAATACACATTCCTGAAAAGCAAACCCCCAGGAGAATGAAATACAGCTGCTGACTTTCACATTCCTCAGTGTGATAGGTTCTGGGGTAGAATATTTCGTCATGTCTGGTTGTCAGGACCCAAACCATGTTGCGTATTTATTTTTTTCCTAGATATTTTCCAGTTAACACACACAGTGAAGTAAAAAAAAGAGCTAAACCAAATATTTTAGAAGGCAGTTTTCAATAGAAGACTTCTCAGATTTCCTCTTGCACAGTTGAGATTCCTGTCCTCTGGCTTTAGGGGATGCTCTGATCTATAGTTCTACCAACAATCTGAGCAAGAGCAATCTGATACAAACTTGGAACAATCACCTGGACGCAGGTATTTTTCAAGTCTTCATTTCGTTGCATATTGAAAACAGAAAGCAGCTTCAAAACTCTTCCATTTGTCCTCCAATTTAAACTTCCTTCACTTGAAAAACCTCCACAACACTCAGGTAATTACTTGTAACTAGCTAATTTACAGGCTGATTGCTTTTGATATGTTACTATTTTTTTTTTAATTAATAAACAGCAACAATTTTCCAAGGATTCTTTGAAGGTAAGTTTCTTAGCTTCAAAAAGTAGTCTCTGACAGCTCTCTGATAACGGAACATCTCAAAATAAAGTCCCTCACAATATTTTACGTAAGCAACAAGACTTATAAATTATTAGCACTACTTTGGGGGTTGTTTTTTATGGTGTTTATGCTCTGGAGAAAGCTCTAAGATAGGAGCCTAATTTTCTCCCGAAAAAAACACATGGTGTAGTTAAGAATCCAGGAAATCCCCACACTTTAGCATGAGCCATAGAAAACACACAGTAGGTCATACATCCTTTCTTCACCCCTATTCTTTCAACCCTAATTTAACTCCAGGAGCTCTAAGCTGTACCTCTTTCTGATTGGGATTTGTAGTCTAAATTGCTTCCTCAAGTCAGATGCTTTTCAGTTATTTCTCCCAAATATAAGCTGCTTCCTTTCACTCTTTTATTCATTAGCCAAACAGCCACTGTTACGGAAATAAGAATAAGAATATGGAAATTATTTTTACTGGTGGCCACAGTGTCCTCAAGAGACCAACCAGCACCAGAGGCAGGACAATCAAAATATAACACTCACCAACCTATATTGTAAAAAAAAGGCAAAGGGAGTGACTTGGGAAGTGTATGAAATGGGGTGCAGAGTCTGTGCCAGAAGCACTTACCCAAGGAGCATCCCCATGTAGAGAGCATTCCTGGACATAGTTTACTGGGATAAAAGACACTACACTTTTTTCTTTTTTTTTTTTTTTCTCCATTAAAACATTGCCCGGAGTTGAATCAGCCTCACTGTTATCGCACACCAGCGACAGGAAAGGCACCTGAAGGGGGACAAAGCAAGGACATGTCCTGCTGCCGAACCCTCGGGAAAGGCAGGACTCCCTGCAGGGGAAGTGAACTGCTCCAAGGTCCTGCTCACCACAGCAGCAGTGAAGAAGGGCTGCCCAGAGCCCCTCCAGGGAGGGCATCTCAGCCTTGCCCACCAGACCTGGCACAGTGCAAAGCAGGGGACTGAAAAAAAGCTGAAAATGGGCTTCCTCACAAAAAAAAAAAAAAAAAAAAAAAAAGGACCCCCTCTCTTCTATGAACAGTCACAGCTATAGTCACACTGCTTTACTGTACGGCACGCAGGCCTCACACCAACTGCAAACGATGGACTAAGGACTGCAAAGGAGACCGCACAGGACATGTGCATCTCCTGCCTCCTTCCTGTTTTTCAAATACATCTTCAACCACACTTGAACTTAGAAAATTACTTCTTAATATGTCGCTTGGTCCCGCATTTTGTATTGAATGTCAAAGCTCGCCAAAGTCCAAAATCCAGAAACAATTAGTGTAGGTATTACATTTACTGAGAGGAAGAAAAATGTTAACTTTGCAACAGTTTGATTTCCTTCCTGTGCTGAAATTCCTAGAGATGTTACATTTGACAGAAGGAAACCCAATGACCCACAGAAACAGCCTCAATCAGTAAGGTTAACAGAAGACATATAGGTTGAAATTGAAAAAAAAAAAAAAGCATTTTATATTTATATCAATTACAACTTGTTCCCCATTTCAACAAAAGGAAATAAAACACTCTCATCCTGCCTAACAATCCAGTGGCCTCCTCCTGCCCTAGCTTAATTAGTGGCAAATTTCACCACAGCTCTCCATAAGCAATCAAAAAGACTAGCTAATTAAAAAAGTAATTAGTTTACACAGATGGATGAGAGTGGTTAGATTAGTTTATGAAAATAATGTGAAACTCCTCTAGATGCTTTTAGTGGCTCGACTTCCTGCTGTTCATGGGTTCTACACTCCCCCAGGCCGAGGGACAGGCACAAGGGCCAGTAGCCAATGCTCAAGAAAAAAGTGTAAAAACCTGTGATCTCTGCCCACAGCTGGGCACAGGTACCAAAGGGGGCAGAAGGGACTCCCTCTGCTGAAGGCTGGATCGTGGCCAACAGCCGCTCACAGACCTCACCTCCGTGAATGTATCAAATACGATTTATGCAAGCGCAATGTTTAAGGGGAAAAAAAAAAAGCATAAGAAACCAGAGATCACTAGAGACTAAATTGCTTTCTAAACAGTGTAAAAAAATAGCTAAAATATAACTGTTGCTCTTAGCTGAGCAAATTAAAAAGCTGTAAACCTAAGTTTTTAACTCTTTTAAATTAAGAAGCTATAAAAGAAAATGAAGTTTTAAGCAGTAGCAATGAAAAGACACAACTACCTGTACTAACTGCTCTACTTGTTTTTAAAGCAGACAGAGCAGCAGCTCCAATTTCTTTGGCTCTGCTATTTGTGGAGCACTACCCCTGGTCCAGAAGAACGTTGAATCAGGTGTAAATTCCTGGCTATTGCAGGCTCACAAGTCACAGAACCCTATGCTGAAGACATCAGAAACTGCTGCATCCCTTAGTTGCACTAGATGGAAATAAAGAGGAAAACAAAAGAAGCTCAA